TCTACTGCTCGAAGCTGGCCGAAGCGCCGAGCGCACACGTACACGGCTGTTCGCCTGTGTGCGTATCCCCTCCACTTGCTGTTGCATGTTGCTAGCGTCCGCAAACTGGCATCTCTGTGTGGTGGTGGCACAGACAAGCGGTGGCCGCCAGCGCGGTGGCGGTAGTGATGATATGAGGATCTTTCGCGCCACCTGGTATAATCGTGTCGGCGCACCAAGTGAAACGTCGTTGTCATCCTCCTCATCGTCGTCAAGGGAAAGCGTGAAAATTGCGGTAGTTGAGAAAGCACACCGCTTAAAGGAACTTTCCCGTGTATCGTGCTTCGTGCTCTTGATAATCCACCTCGATCGCCATCTCGTTGACAATATCGTTAATTCCTTCTTGCTTTCTTCGTCTTCTTCTCTCGTTCCTCTTTTCTTGCTTTTGCCCACTACTCGTCATGTAACATGGGTCACGCGCTGTACCGTCGGCGATCCTCGTAGGTGGATGTGCCTGGACGTTATAACCTCAACGGAAGAGGAGGTACTGGTGGCCGCGCGTCTCGAGATGTGATTTTGCGCACCGATTTTTAAAGGGAAATTTTCTCGGTCATCGAGGATGAGGAACGGCTTCACGGATATACCGGTTGCGAGTGCTGACAGTAGCACGAACGCCATATGGTTTGACAAGAGCAGTCCGTCGGGAATGATGCCCGATCGACGAATGTCACTCAGTGAACAGCTCAATGAGACGTATTCATTTATCAATTCCTTCAGTACGTCTTTTCTCTTAGCAAATTTATTTTTTCTTGACATACAGAAGACGCGCTTTAGATAGAGATTCGGCAAAGTTTTTAATAATATTTTAATATCTTTTGAATGTGTCGTCGGCGATCATTTTGTTTATCATCGATAATTAAGATCGAATGATTGAGGTGCGCGCAAAAATGCGCAAAGTGCATCCAAAATTGATCGACAAGCAAGTTTTTTTTTAGAGAGTTTGTAAATTTGTATACAAATTTGTGTGTGGAATTATCGGAGCACGAGTGTGTTTACGTTGCGACTTATGTTTTATTAATCGTATCATCGCGGCGCAGCGCGCTTGACTGTGCGCATCATCAAGCGCGCTCGAATCCCAAATGCGAGGAATCGATCTATAGGATCTTTAATTGTGTGACGCACGCAGCGCATTCAAATTTTACCTACTTTGGTCTTCGCGCGTGAACAGTGTGTCTACTCTTTTGGATATGTGCTATTTACAAAAATATTATTTTTTAATGCGATTTTAATGAAAAACAACTTTTCGTTTTGCATAATTAATTATAACCCTCTTTTCGAAAATAAATCCAAAATACGCCACAGTTGTGTTGTGCAGTGAAAACATTTCAGTTACATTGTAAAACTGAGAAAGCAAAACGAACAAATTGTTTGAATAAAGAGAAAAATTAAAAAAAAAAGTTTGCGGTTGTATTTAAAGCTTTACCTAAATTACTATATATCCTTCAATGCCGGATTATCTCGCGTCAGAAATAGGATTAAAAAACTGCGATTATTTGTTGAGGTATTGTTTAACAATTTTATTTTATTTTTTTTTTACTTTTTATTTTTATTTTATAAACTTGCGCGTGTAACTGTCACTCTCTCAAATAACATTTGTAAACACAATAGTTCTACGTGTACAATAGTAGAAATAAAAATAAATGATATATCAACTGCACAAAAACTTACGATTTTTCGCTTTCTTTTCAGATTTCGATAAAGTCATAAAACAAGAACGTCCAGATGAAGCGGAGATCCTTGAATTGGCTGCCAAAATGGTGGAAGCAAACAAGGCGAAAATGTCAGCTAATCTACCAGCGGTGCAGCCACAACAGAGACCGCCATGCCTTTTACCGCAGTCTAATCTTGGAATTCTTGGATATCTTAATAAACGGCCAGACGGATCTGCTCCGAAAGCACCTGGTGCACCAAACAATGTAGAAAGTAAACCAGCACCCGACGATGAAAGCCAGAGAGGACGATTTGGCTGGACGAGCTTCGACGATTGTCACATACCGTATATATTTCGCTCCGGCGAAAAGTATTGCGCTGTACGCATTCTAGAATCTAAGCTTCTCAACAAGTACCTGAGTTATCTTCATTCAGACATATATAGCTGCACATGTATAAGAAGTTATTACATTACGGAGGCCGAGAGCAAACTATTCAACGAGATCAACGGCAAGCATTGCGAGAATCAATTCGGAAGAGACGCATTCACATGCAAAGATTTAGTAGTGCGTCTGTCAGATGCCAAGGAATTTTATACGTTTCTCGATGTATGTTACACAAAACTTACCGCCGGTACCAATCCTAACGTGGCAAGCGGACGCAAAACAGACAAGTGTGGTTTCATACGTATAAACAAAGAGTCGGTAGTTCCTTACACAGTAAAAGATGGTCTACAATACGTGCCGCTATTTTACTTTGAGGGAGAAACTGAAAATCTCAAGCTCAAGGCAGAGAAACTCGAAGGCTGGGACTTGTCGTATTTGAAATTTTGTTGTAAGGTACAGGGTATTCGTAATGAATTGTTTGCCAGTGAAACTTGCTCGGTGATCAGTTTAAGTGACATTAAAAGTTACTTTCCGCCGGGTACCGGTTTCGAAGACTATTGGCCAACCAAAGTTATGGACTCGCAATTATTAGTGAACAGCAACGGAGGTGGTAGTGGTGGAGGGTGGACAAAACAACCACCCACACCACCGGCCACCAAGCCTACATCTGTGAGTGCAACAAAAGTAATACCGCCTGCTTCTCTAGGCGCTCGTGCTGCGCCACCAATGCCTAGTATAATCAATCCGCGAGGAGCTGTCGTGAATACGGCGCCTCAGATGCCACGAATAGGGCAGAACAGGCCTGTAGCGACGACACATCCTGCACATTCTTCTCCGTCAGGACTTACTCCTGGGAGACCAAACATAGTGTCACAACCCATGTTGAATACTGGTGTGGTTAATGGTTGGTCTGGACTTGTTGGAGGTCAACCTACTTTTCAAGCTGCTCTCGGTTCTCAGGCCAATTCCATTATACGTGCAAGCCTGAATATGCACAATGTAAGACGATTTTCTTTAAATCTTATTATAATTGCAAAGTTTGGTTTAAGTCTGAATATGAATCTTTTTTTTGAATTTTGAATATGCACTACAAGTACCTATAATTCGGAATTTTCAGCAATTGTCTACTTCCAAAACTTATTCTCAGCAGTCTAGAAGTCGAACGAGCAATAACGCGCCGTCAGCGCAATACCCTGTATATCCCTCTACAACTATGCAGGGAGTTGCTCAGGGTCAACCTCCACCACCTCTTATACGAGCAACTGCTCATTCCAATCAACCCAATCTCGGGTAAGATCCTTTTAACCTTTAAAAAAATTTTTTGCAGAAGTAAGATTACCACGTGTGTATTAAGTTCACCAAGCTTTAAATAATAAGAAGAATTTTCTTATTTTTTATTAATAAATTTATTTTGCAACTATACAGTATAGTTTGTTTTTATTCACGAAGCGTGTGCTTGCTTAGAATATAGCAAATGAGTGAGCATAGTAACGACTGTAATATTTAAACAAAATATTGCACTTATTTATTTCTTATTGTCACACACGCTATGTTATATGTACTTCAAATAATATAAAAATTTTGAAGTCGCTAAAAAAACTTTGTTTTAAAAAACGAGTTTATTTTTTAAAAACGTGATTAAACATTTTTTAAAATAAAATATTAGTAAGAGATATGCAATAAATATTACTATGTGCTATAAATATTGTGCGTATTTTTATAAGAAAATAAAAACAATTACATAAAACAGTTTACAAGTGTAGTGAAAAGATCAAATAAGTAATTAGAGACATTGAGTCTGATATAATTAGTAAGTTGTATTGAGAGGTCTCTTTAATTACACTCAAAGCGAATTCGGTTGAACGTGTACTGGTGTACACTGATGTTTACTAAGGAGAGGTCTAAAACCTTATTATTTATTGGCTAGTTCTGATATTCGCTGTCAGTACTGAAAACAGTACTTCGCGTTATGTTACATGTACTTTGAATTTTCAGTACTGACAGTGACTCAAAATTGTAGCCATTATAGACCGGAGGTGGAGAGAACTCTGCACTTTGGGCACTGGTTTCAGTATTCACGCCTAGCGCCATTCCCACTCCTTTCAAGCTCACAGCTTGGGACCACCTAGAACAACAATAGGACCTCGAGCTCAGTAACGCTATTGGCTAGAAAATCATTTGGAACTTTCGGCACGTATTGCCCAGCACATTGCTCAACTACAAAGCGAGAGGAGTAGGAATGAAACTAGGTGTGAAGCCAGTGTTTTAAAGTCGAGTGTACATTCAACAAGTTTGCATTCAACTGAATTTGCTATCAGTCAACAATATCAATCGTAATTTCTCTCTATTTACTCTAGTTGAATCTTCTCTTCATTTTACAAAAAAATTACACGAAATATAAATTAAAATTTAATTTGTTGTTTTTTTTTATTTGGCATTGAGAAAAGGATTCAAACCGTTTGTTTGCGAGGATGTAAAATTGTTGTTAGCGAGGATATAAAAGTAAAAAGCTTTTATCTTTTAATTAAACTAAACTGTATGAGCGTTTGATTCTTATATTGTTCTTTTGTAAAGGAACAATACAATTTTTATAAATTTATACTATAAGAGATAATAATTTGACTTGAATTGACTGAGAATTTATAAGTATGATATTGGGAACAATGCTGTATAAATTGGAAAACATTGGTTGATTAAAGACAAAAATATAAGCAACATTGATGAACAACAAAATTTTAAAATAATAAAATAATTCTAATTTGTTGTATATTTGTTATTAATTAATTTACTTTATTATTTACACTGAAGTATGGAGGAATCACCTCAGGCTCTCAATAAAATTTAATAATCAATGTTAAAAATCAAAGGCCATACAGAGCCAGTGCAGGATGTTGTGCAATAATTAAATAAAGTAAAAAATTTCTTTCTTTAGCTTCAAAACGTTTCGACTTTTTATT